CCTGTTTTGTTTCCCTGATTAGTTCCAGCTGTGCTCCATGGTGTCTCCCCCTCCCTAATTATTTTATATGTGTTTACATCCTTTGTCACTCTCAGTCCTGTTTTCACATCACACTGTGTTCTTTAATCTGTAGTGCACTTATGATACTGTTAGCATTCCTCTTTCTTGCTGTTCCACGGTTCCTCTAGTTCTGTTCCCCAGATCCTCCAAGTGTTTCCCTGGCATTTCCAAAGTTTCTCATGGAGTTTGGCATTTTTACTGCTTCCTGTTTAGTTGCTATTATGCCTCCAATAAAGGGCCGTTCTCGTTTTATCCCTGCCTGCTCTGATCCTGCATTCTAGGTCCTTTCACCAGCAAAACTGACACAAATATGGCTGCTGTGTTTTACAAAGCTTTTCTTTTCAGCACTAATTCAGTCTGTGAGGAGGATGCACCTTCATACTTCATCTGTGGTGCAACTCCAGTTATCCAAAAGTTAGTACTAGCACAAAACAGCTATACCCATTTATGTTGCCATGTCAACATTTTAATATTTTATCCTTGTTCATCAGAGCATGAAACAAACTGCTGTTATCGTTCATATACAACAATCTGGCAGAAGGAAGGTTTACTTTAAAAAAAAAATCACACAGTAATCCATTTCCTGGTTTCATGTCCGTCTTGTTAACAATGTAATACAACTGCAAATCTTAAGAGTACTCTGATTACAACCATAGTTACAAGTTTAATCATAAAGATTTTGTATTTTTATATTTTATGTTAAGAAAATCTTAAGAAGATTAAAATTACAGGACCATCTGGCAAACAGGAAGCCACGAGACCAAACACAGAGAAAACATTGCTATAACGTTGGGATGATCTGTCACAGCGGAGAGCTGCTCTGAAGGAGCAAATGAAATGAAAAAAGGTTTCAGATAAACCAGAGTGTGAGTGTGATTGACTTTTACCCTGAGGAGGAGCTGCAGGACTATGCTGAGACTGTGGGCGAGTGGGTGGCTTGAGTCCTGGTGGGAGGGGAATCCCACTGGAAATTCTCTGTGGAAGGAAGCAGAACAGGAGAATAAGTGACAAAGAATTTTCTTCCCACAATGAAAACAGATTTGTCACTGAGCAGAAGCTTGGATTTTTTGTTGAAAGTGCCTTTAATCATTTAATGTCACCAGACACAACAGTTGTGTTGTCTCATCTCGGCGGGTGAAGCAGAGAAGAACAAGAATGTCATTTGATCAATCTGTAAAGTGCCTCCGTTAAACCTCGTAAATGGGCGGCATGAACATAAATACTGTGTGTTGTGTTATTCAAAGAGAAGTTTATTACAGTGTCCTTTTTGCCTTTGGACGTCTTGACATCTGCTGGTTGAAGAAGGGATGCTGGCAGAAGTCCTCTCTGCAAACAAACAACTAAAAATTAGATTTGTAGCAATAAAAATAAAGCTTGTGTACAGAAATTCTCAGTATTGTGACTGCAAAAGAATACAAGAACCTGAGCAGGAATGAATACATATTAAGATTTATATAAAACTAACTTTATTTATAAAGCGCTTTCAAACAAAGTGCTGTACAACTATCTGAAACTAAAGCGATAAATAAAATAAAAGTGATGCATAGCAATACAAGTGAAAAACAGTAAAAATGTAAAAACTCAAAGCCACAGAATTAAGAGATTTAAGGTTTTTAAAAACCTCCACAGAGCTCGCCTGCCTAAGATCTTGAGGGAGGCTGTTCCACAGAGACGCGGCACAAAAAGAAAAAGCTCTCCAGTTGTCTTATTTCTGGCTCTAGGAACCTTTAGACCAGGGGTCCCC